GTCTCTGTACACAGAGAGCTGTTACCCTTCCCTTTATAGTTATGACAGAGGCTCTAGTAGTTTTCTTCCCCAATGTGATTTTTGCCCAGACAGACTCTGTCTTATCCATTCCATCACTTCTTATATCTTTACAGTCTACCTCATCATTGATATACAGTGCTACTCCACCACCTTTGCCTTTATTTCTGCCTTTCCTAAACAGCACATAGCCTTCAATACCTGTACTCCAGTCATGACTACTATTCCACCATGTTTCTGGTTTCACTTCCTGCACCAATAGCTCTAGTTCCTCCATTTTGTTACCTAGATTCCTCGCATTAATGTACAAACATCTTAATTTTTGCTCTTTGGCATCTCTCACATTCTTTACCCAATTAGGCACAGACATTCTACCGCCAGTATCACCTATTAGAACGTTATCTACACTACCCTTCCTCCTTATGTCCATTCTCCTACCCACGGCTGTATCCTTTCTTACTTCATTTTCTTCCCTCTCAATGTTAAAATCCAGCATGGAGATTACCTGGACATCTCCCAACCATCTCCCCCAAATTCCTACTTTAAAGCTCTCTTAATCAGTTCTGCCAGCCTCCATCCTAGAAGTCTATTTCCCTCCCTACTCAGGTGAAGTCCATCCCAAGAGAACAATTGTCTGTCTATGAATGCTTCCCAATGGCCATACATCCCAAAGCCCTCCTTATAGCCCCACTGCCTGAGCCATCTGTTGATCATCATAATCTTGTCACACCTTTGTTGCCCTTCTCTAGGAACAGGCAGAATTCCACTGAAGATCACCTGAGCCTCGATTTCCTTAAGCGTCTTCTCCAGTCTGGCATGGTCTCCCTTGATACATTCCAGCGAGAATCTAGCCGTATCATTTGTTCCCACATGAAGGACAATCAGTGGATTCTTTCCCGCTTCCGTTAGGATCCTCTTCAGCCTCAGGTCCACATCCCGTATCTTAGCACCTGGCAGACAGCACACCCTTCTGTTCTCTGGATCAGCTCTAGTTACAGGCCTGTCTATTCTTCTCAGTAAGGAGTCCCTAATCATGTAGACCTGCCCTTTCCTGGTGATGGTGCGATTCTCCGGTCTATCCCCTGTTCCCTCTGGCTGCAAGTCCTCTCGATTCCTATTCTCCCTTGCAATCCTCCGCAATCCATCCTGTATCTTCCTGGGGCTCATATTTGGTGTTATCTCCATTGACTCTTTCCTTCTTCCTATAGGACTAACTGCTCTTCTCTTCTTCCTTGCCCTCCCACCTTCAGCGACCGCCTGCTGTGCCCCTTCTTCATTTTCCAACTCTGCAAACCTGTTCCTGAGCTCTCTTTCTCCTTCACTAGCCCGTCTTTTCCTCTGCCTGGTTCTCTTAGTCACATGTTTCCACTTTCCTCACCCAGCAGTCTCCCCTCAGAGTTCTTTGGTCCTGCTTCCATCTGCAAGTCTGAGCTTTTCCCTTCAGCCTCCTCATGCCTTTGCTCCATCATCTGCTCGAACCCCCTTCTAAACTCAACCAGAGTTTCCACCTGCATCTCCAATCCTCAGATCATTTCTTCCATCAGCTCTATCAGGCAGCACTTCATGCAGACGAAACTCTTTTCAGGTATCCCCTCCAGGATCATGTACATGCCGCAGCTTCCACATCTAGTCATCTTCATTGTGTCTTCCACTGCTTGGGTCACTACCACTGCTGCCTCTATCTGTCATAGCCTTCTCACCTAAGTCCTGTTAGTTCAGGAAACACAAACCAAACCAAAACACCACCACCCACAGCAACACAAACCCCCAACGAGCACCAAAACACTGCCAGACCCCCCACACTCCCTTCACTAGTCTGGCTCTCTTAGTCTTTCCCTCAAGCTCCCCTTGAGAACTCGCACTCAAACTCCCCTGTTTACAGCTCTGTTTGCTGGCTCCTGTGCCACTGCAGCTGTCTGTGCCGGTGACTGGCCGGCTACCTTTATAGGACCCCTAGTCAGAGAAGCCCCGCCCCCTACTCAGGGCTCAGCTTCTCTCCCAGCACACTGCCCCTACCAGCCTCTACAATTACAAATACAAATACCTTCTCCTCCAACAGAATATCTTCTTCTCCAACAGAAGTCCCACTCAAACTCCCCTGTTTACAGCTCTGTTTGCTGGTTCCTGTGCCGCTGCAGCTCCTAATTTGCCTCCTGATTCCCAGTCCTCACACCTTCCCTGTGGCATCTACAGTACTTGATTGCACGAAAGTCACATTAGGATGGTGTTATGGAGACAAGACGAAAATAAACTTTCTTTTATAGGATTAGTGCAATTGCTTGAATATGAGTACATGTCCTCGTTTTGTATCTGTGCTGCTTATTTTCCCTCTGGGAGTGCAGGGCTTTCTAGGACCAAATCTCTGCCTGCAGTTCTCCATGTTCTAATAATCTGTCCAGGTCACTCTGCAGTTTGGGTCTGCTCTCCTTGCATGTTTTGCTCCCACTCCAATTTCAGTGTCACCTGCGGATTTAATCCTTATTTGAATTCACATCACAGAAGTACCTAACAAAGGAGGACATGGAATGTTTGGGCTTAGCTGGTGGGGGGGAAAAAAAGCCTCTTCGTATCCTAAAAAAGGAATCCTGTACTGGACTATAGATAGCAGGAAGTATCATTGCTTGGAGCTTGACTGATGCTTTGGCATTTTTGAGACAGGAGCAGCTTCACAGACTATCAGGATTCTTGAGTGAGAGACTCTATTTCTAGAGTTAGACAACTTTGATTAACAAAGAAGTAAACAAAGCAGAGCCAGGATGATAAGATCCCCACTTCCCGCTTGTTTCTTATCTGCCAAATGAAAAAGTACAAAATGCATAGGACAAGGGGCTTTGATAAATTCTAAAGAAGTATAATATAAAGAACCTTCTTAATCTGGTAGTGATCTATCTTCAGCTATATGCGGTTACCTTTTCTTTGCCTTGCAGAGGCTTTGGTTTTGATTGTAGTTCCTCTTGTTCTGTTTATTCCCAGGCATAAAAAATGGAGCACCAATTGCAGAAGGGCTCCCTACATCTGCCAGATCGCTAAAATGTCTTGAGTTTTAGCCACACATCTCCCTTTGATGCTGATCTTGATACAGATCTCATTTTCACTACTGTGTATTATCAACATGGGAAATGGGGAATCCTGATGCTTGAGGATGTAGGCCATGGTATATACACTTCTACCCCGATATAAAATGAATTTGGATATAATGCGGTAAAGCAGCGCTCCAGAGGGGGCGGGGCTGCGCACTCCAGCGGATCAAAGCAAGTTCAATATAACGCAGTTTCACCTAAACGCAGTAAGATTTTTTTGGCTCCCGAGGAGCGTTTTATCAGGGTAGAGGTGTATAGTAAAAAATTACATCACTTAAAGTTGCTTGTACCTTTAACCCTCATTTTTGTCTTGGGGATGAAATCCTGGCTTGACTGAACACCACTCCCATTGATTTTAATGGGGCCAGGATTTTTCCTTGTGTTACAATTTGGGTGTCTGCAGGTTGACGGATAAGGACTTCACATATTTTAGGAAGTAGGAGGAATTGCAAAACAAACAGACTGGGGTAGCTGGGATCCCAGCATTTGGAAATAAGCTGTAAAAGAGGAAGAGAGTTGTATAGAACTACAGAATAACTGGTGTACACCATGTGGACATCACAAGATGGTGCGAGAGCATGGCTGTCTGCAACCCATTTGATGACAAAATGGCTGAGTGGTCATTCATGACTTGTTCTTCGGCTTTAACCTGCCTTTGCCAAATTGTCATGAATATTTACAGGCACAAAATCTGTCTCAGTCTTAGTACAGTGATCACTGGAAGGAAAAATATTTTATTCAATCTAGAAGGAAAAATTTTACTCTTCTCAGGTGAGCAGAACTTTGCAATGCTAGTTAAAGCTGATGTCTCCTTTGACGACTTTCGTTGATGTCTCCAGCTGCAGGAAGGCGTAGCTATTGAAGACCTGCTTTGTCATCACACTGTATTCCACTCCGAGTGCAGAAGCAGGCTCTGATCACTGGGGATGTTCATTTCTAAGTGACATTGGTTTCTTCCTGGGACTCTCCTTCTCAATAATAAGAGAATTGTGTGGGCATCGATCCATGGTGGTGTGCTGTCCTCTGTAGAGGATACGTAAAAGATCTGCTCTAGGAATTATTTTGGGGAAGTTTTTATGGCCTGTGTTATACAGGAGGTCAGATCAGTGGTCCCTTCTGGCCTTGGAATGTACAAAAAATAATGAATAACCTAGTAATCCTTCTGCGCTACCTCTGCAGAGGAACATGGTTACAGAGAGAGAAAATTGTTTTCTAGTACTTCTGCAAAACAGTGTACATTGTTCAAAAGAACTCTCCAAAAGCATTTTCCTCTTAACAAAATGTTTGTGAATTAAAACATTAGGATCGGGCTTACAAACTCAAGCAGTGACTCTCCGTCTCTCTTCCAGGATGAATAACTTCACTCTCATGCACTATCTTGATATCCATGAAGACCCCACATTTATTCCAGAGGTTGCTGCTGAGGGAAGAAAGGAAAAGCCTGAGACTAAAAACACATTGGAGGTTCTCAAGCAGTTGATGGAGACCAGGTCAGCATGATGTGCAAGGAGTAGGGGGTTTGTATGTGTGTGTATTAATGCAGTACTGGGTCATGATGTCATTGTCAGTAGTCTGGACAAAATCAGGTTTCCCAAAACAAAGTGACATTCTGTATGTCTTAAACAGTGGCCCAAGTTTATAAGGATTCTCCCCCCCCCCCCGGATGCTTTCTGAATTCTAATGTACAGCATCCTTTCCTTTCTCTTCCTTTGCAGTTTGTGTCCTTACTCAATATCTTCCCATGCTATCTCTGCACCTTCTGATACCGAAAGCTCCCCTTACTTCATTAACCCTTGTCTAGACTGCGGGGAAAATCTGTTTTGAATTAAGATGCATTTGAATTATGTACTGTTTGTGCTAGGTACTTAAATGTTTTTACACCAGTTATAGCAACTTAGTGCTTAAGTGCCTATACACAAATGCAAGAAGCCTGGGAAACAAGCAGGGAGAACTGGAAATCCTGGCACAGTCAAGGAACTATGATGTGATAGGAATAACAGAGACTTGGTGGGATAACTCACATGACCGGAGTACTGTCATGGATGGATATAAACTGTTCAGGAAGGACAGGCAGGGGAAAAGGTGGGGGAGTTGCATCGTATGTAAGAGAGCAGTATGATTGCTCAGAGCTCCGGTATGAAACTGCAGAAAAACCTGAGTCTCTGGATTAAGTTTAGAAGTGTGAGCAACAAGGGTGATGTCGTGGTGGGAGTCTGCTATAGACCACCAGACCAGGGGGATGAGGTGGACGAGGCTTTCTTCCGGCAACTAACAGAAGTTACTAGATCGCAGGCCCTGGTTCTCGTGGGAGACTTCAATCACCCTGATATCTGCTGGGAGAGCAATACAGCAGTGCACAGACAATCCAGGAAGTTTTTGGAAAGTGTAGGGGACAATTTCCTGGTGCAAGTGCTGGAGGAACCAACTAGGGGCAGAGCTCTTCTTGACCTGCTGCTCACAAATAGGGAAGAATTAGTAAGGGAAGCAAAAGTGGATGGGAACCTGGGAGGCAGTGACCATGAGATGGTCAAGTTCAGGATCCTGACACAAGGAAGAAAGGAGAGGAGCAGAATACGGACGCTGGACTTCAGAAAAGCAGACTTTGACTCCCTCAGGGAACTGATGGGCAGGATCCCCTGGGAGAATAATGTGAGGGGAAAAGGAGTCCAGGAGACCCGGCTGTATTTTAAAGAATCCTTATTGAGGTTGCAGGAACAAACCATCCCGATGTGTAGAACGAATAGTAAATATGGCAGGCAACCAGCTTGACTTAACAGTGAAATCCTTGCTGATCTTAAACACAAAAAAGAAGTTTACAAGAAGTGGAAGCTTGGACAAATGACCAGGGAGGAGTATAAAAATATCACTCAGGCATGCAGGAGTGAAATCAGGAAGGCCAAATCACACTTGGAGTTGCAGCTAGCAAGAGATGTTAAGAGTAACAAGAAGGGTTTCTTCAGGTATGTTAGCAACAAGAAGAAAGTCAAGGAAAGTGTGGGCACCTTACTGAATGAGGGAGGCAACCTAGTGACCGAGGATGTGGAGAAAGCTAATGTACTCAATGCTTTTTTTGCCTCTGTCTTCATGAACAAGGTCAGCTCCCAGACTGCTGCACTGGGCAGCACAGTATGGGGAGGAGGTGACCAGCCCTCTGTGGAGAAAGTGGTGGTTCAGGACTATTTAGAAAAGCTGGATGAGCACAAGTCCATGGGGCCGGATGCGCTGCATCCAAGGGTGCTAAAGGAGTTGGCGGATGTGATTGCAGAGCCATTGGCCATTATCTTTGAAAACTCATGGCGATCGGGGGAGGTCCCGGATGACTGGAAAAAGGCTAATGTAGTTCCCATCTTTTAAAAAAGGGAAGGAGGAGGATCTGGGGAACTACAGGCCAGTCAGCCTCACCTCAGTCCCTGGAAAAATCATGGAGTAGGTCCTCAAGGAATCAATTCTGAAGCACTTAGAGGAGAGGAAAGTGATCCGGAACAGTCAGCATGGATTCACCAAGGGCAAGTCATGCCTGACTAACCTAATTGCCTTCTATGACAAGATAACTGGCTCTGTGGATGAGGGGAAAGCAGTGGATGTGTTATTACTTGACTTTAGCAAAGCTTTTGATACGGTCTCCCACAGTATTCTTGCCGCCAAGTTAAAGAAGTATGGGCTGGATGACTGGACTGTAAGGTGGATAGAAAGCTGGATAGATCGTCGAGCTCAACGGGTAGTGATCAATGGCTCCATGTCTAATTGGCAGCCGGTATCAAGCGGAGTGCCCCAAGGGTCGGTCCTGGGGCGAGTTTTGTTCAATATCTTCATTAATGATCTGGAGGATGGTGTGGACTGCACCCTCAGCGAGTTTGCAGATGACACTAAACTGGGAGGAGTGGTAGATATGCTGGAGGGTAGGGATAGGATACAGAAGGATCTGGACAAATTAGAGCATTGGGCTAAAAGAAATCTGATGAGGTTAAACAAGGACAAGTGCAGAGTCCTGCACTTAGGACAGAAGAATCCCATGCACTGCTACAGACTAGGGACCGAATGGCTAGGAAGCAGTTCTGCAGAAAAGGACCTAGGGGTTACAATGGACGAGAAGCTGGATATGAGTCAACAGTGTGCCCTTGTTGCCAAGAAGGCTAACTGCATTTTGGGCTGTATAAGTAGGGGCATTGCCAGCAGATCGAGGGACGTGATCATTCCCCTCTATTCAACAATGGTGAGGCCTCATCTGGAGTACTGTGTCCCGTTTTGGGCCCCACACTACAAGAAGGATGTGGAAAAATTGGAAAGAGTCCAGCGGAGGGCAACAAAAATGATTAGGGGTCTGGAGCACATGACTTATGAGGAGAGGCTGAGGGAACTGGGATTGTTTAGTCTGCAGAAGAGAAGAATGAGCGGGGATTTGATAGCTGCTTTCAACTACCTAAAAGGGGGTTCCAAAGAAGATGGATCTAGACTGTTCTCAGTGGTAGCAGATGACAGAACAAGGAGTAATGTCTCAGGTTGCAGTGGGGGAGATTTAGGTTGGCTATTGTGAAAAAGTTTTTCCTTAGGAGGGTGGTGAAGCACTGGAATGCGTTACCTAGGGAGGTGGTGGAATCTCCTTCCTTGGAGGTTTTTAAGGCCCGGCTTGACAAAGCCCTGGCTGGGATGATTTAGTTGGGAATTGGTCCTGCTTTGAGCAGGGGGTTGGACTAGATGACCTCCTGAGGTCCCTTCCAACCCTGATAGTCTATGATTCTGTGAACTTTAAAAACATGTTAGCTGCTCATAGTCAGTCCTAGGCTCTACCCTGGGCTGCTGCCCTATCCCCCACCGAGTATGTTAGCTGTGTTGACTATGACCAGTGAAACATGTTTTTGAAACTGGTCAACATTAGGTTCTGATACTTTTTTTTTTTTTTTTTTTTTTTTTTTTAACAGCATGTAGTTCAAAGTTACTAGCTAACATGTTTAAAGGCAAGACCTTAATCACCCACGTACTTAGGAAAGTTTTATGTTTGCTTAGAACATACACAGGTCAAATGCAGATTTGTCTGTCTTACCAATTAACCTGTTTTAACTGATTTGTACATGTCTGTCTCGATATTCTAACATATTCCACACCAGAAAATACAGAAAGCTATAGATTAGATCCTTGTTAGGCTTATTGACATGTTGAATTATTCTTTGTGATGTGTTTTGAGTGCAAGCTTTTTGGGGAAGGAACATGGGTTTTGTATAGTCTCTAATGTGCCTAGCATACTGTTTGTGCTATGCAAGTAATAGCTTTTCTGTGGCAAGTTATTCTTTAAACCTTCTTACAAACTCTGGACTTCAGTTGCTGGTAGTTCTAATGTGTGTCTATCAGTGTATTTAGGTTTTGTATTTAAAAAGACTTGAGGCAAAATATTCAAATGTATCTAAATGATTTGAAACCCTTAATTCCATGACTCAGACTCCTTAGGCACTTTTGAATATTGTACCATTCTATAGTGCGGGATTTCTTAACAGCTAAAGACCTCAGCTGGGATTTCCAAAGGTGCCCAAAGCAGTTAGTTGAATTTCAGTTGGATTTTGGCAAAGAAGGTTTTCTGGTTGTTACACTGGAATCTGAAGTACTAGGTGAAGCTTTCCTAGTCAGCACCTCATCACACCCTTGTTGGCATTGTGAGTCTCAAGGAAGGTTCTTTGGCAGCTGACCGTCACTTTTTTTATTTCTCTCTTTGAAGGTCTCATCGAGCCAACACTGGATTCAGTTTCAAAGGGATCCAGGACTATCTGAACTGCTACCGGTAGGTGAGATTAAATGATTGGTGGAAAGACCTACAATATTAGGGCATCTTGTCTTCCCTTTTCCCCTCCGTCACTTGATGTGGTTCCCTGTATCTAACGGATCTGTGTTAGGAATTTCTCCCCCAAAATTTGGCCTACTACATGTACCTCCTCTTAACTTCATCCCGTCACTTCTAGTCCTTCACTCTAATCTGCTGAATAAATCCTCTTCCTAATTGGTTTTTACACTTTTCCACTAATTGCAGACTCTCGCAAAGTGCTGCTAGGTGGGGGACCTACGTCCGAGTCCCTAGCTCTTGGGCTTATCCATAGTCTTCTCAGTGAAATAGGAAAGCAGGGGAAGATTCCTTGTGTCACTTGTTGTTGAGTGGGTGGATGGAAGGTCACCACAATGCAGAGCCTTTGAGGATCCTGAAGAACCTACACTGAGTCTCCCTGCTGCTTGCCCTCCCAGTTTGACACCGTTCCACCCAGGGAGTGTGAACAGACCAGAGGTCACTGGAACAAAAAGGTCAAAACAATTCTAGGAAGCAGTGACCAGAGATTTGGGAGAGGATTTTGTTCAGGCCAAACTTCTAGGAGCTGTATGCCTCAGGCCCATCTCTCATGCGAGACAAATTATGCCGTCAGAACAAACGGAAAGGTGGGGCCCACCCCAAGGCTAGTGGGGGGCGGGGTGTTTGTGCGTGTGCGTGCATGCCCTAACCTCATGCAACCTCTCTGTGCATCTCAAGTGTACACATCAACCTGGTATCTAGGAGCTAGAATTACTGGAAGTGTTACTGCAACCTTGGGTACGTTGACTTTCTGAAGGCTCATTTTGGGGGGTTGATTATGAAGGCGATGTTGTGAGGCTGTTTGCAGCCCTCACCGTCAGTGGGAGACCTGAACAAAAAGTTGACTTCCGCGTTGTGCTCTGAGTTCAGCCCGCTCTCTGGCCAAAGCGAGTTTCACAGCCTTGGACCCTTTGCCAAGAAAATGCAATAGTTCTGCCCGTAGCTCTGTCCTCTACAACACTCCGGCTGATCTTGGTGTTCCCAGGCTTCAGACTGGGTTTCCAGCTCCTATCTTGCTCTCTGGGGCTGGGAGTGCTGTGGAGACAAGCTCTCATGGGGAAGGAAGCATTTCATGTTGCTCAGTAGCACTAGCTGTCTAGGGAGTGTCACTGATCCGCTCCTGATTGATTGATTAATTCCTATCAAGTTCTCAGCTCAAAGGGTGATGGTATGACACCTTCCTGCCAGAGGATGGTTTCCTTCAGAACTGTGCCTGGGAAGCAGAGAACCATCCCAGGAATCACAGGCACTGACTCTGTGAGTGCGCCAAAAAAAAAAAATAGTGGGTGCTCAGCACCCACCGGCAGCCCTGTGGATCAGCTCCTTCCCCTCTCCCACAGCACCTCCCGCCTGCCGGTGGCCCCACCAATCAGCTCCTGTACCTCTCTCCCAGTGCCTCTTGCCTGCTGCGACCAGCTGTTTGGAGGGGGCGGGATGGGGGATTGGCAGAAGGGGTGAAGTGGCGGTGGGGCCTGGGGCAGAGTGGGGGTCGAGCACCACCCGGGAACACAGAAAGTCAGCACCTGTGGTGGGAATTGTAACAGGATCCCAATCTCTAAACTCTCCTCTGTTTTATAGGACTGGGGAGTTGACACCCTTCCAGGTTGCTAAGAATATTATCTCCTCGCTGGAGGACTGTGAGAAATCCAACCCCCCTCTCCGAGCAATCGTGCAGTGGGACCGGGCGCAGATACAGAAGGTATGCGTGCCTTTGGTGGGAGTAGGCTTCCTCCTCCCTAGAGTGATAGCAGCCAGTGATCACCTGAATGGGCACACTTTCCCTGCAGAAGAGGATATGAGCAACTAAGAGGCTCTTGCTCTGATCTGCTGCATAGATGTTCAGATCCTGGGATACGATTGCTGGAATGAAGTGTGCATATTTCACCCTTCTCCCCTGTTTTCCTCATTCCCTCCCCTCTCAGGGGGCCATAAATGACTCGATTTCACTTACTCCGGAGGGAGACTAATATTACAGGAGTTGCAGTTCCTACTGAACGTTGCTTAAACCAGGATGTGTTTCTCTGTGGTGTCCATACTATTCTCCCCACCCTGTGGCTCCTTTTGCTCCATGACCTTCGGACCTAGACATCATCGATCAGTAGCTTCTCTCCTCTCGCCCATGGTAAAAGGGCTCGGGCCCATCATGGGGAGATCTCTCTGGGTTGTATTTAGTTTGCAATATTGATCATGTCTGTCTTCTCAGACATATTCCATTGTCCGGCTAAGATAAAATCTTTCTCTCTTTCCAGATGGCTGAAGCCTCCACTACTCGTTACAGGAATAAATGCCCCCTTTCTCTTCTGGATGGAATCCCAGTCTGCTTGAAAGAAGAGATTAAAGTTGTGAGTTCCCTTCATGGTTGGAGTGTTGCATGGCCAGTTCAGGGTGTGTGAGATTATAAGCACTTGTTGTGTATCCTCCAGCTGAGGGACACTCAAAGGCACTTAAAAGCAGCTCATTTTAAAATATATAAAAGGAAATGTGTTACACAGGTTAATCACATTTTTTTTTTAAAGTAACTCACTGCTGCAGGTTGTGGTTAAGGCAAACATCTCGGTAAGATATTTGAAAAAAGGTGTAGACATTTATAGGAATAAGAGTAGAATCTGCAGTTACAGTAGCTAGACTAAACCAGTAAAACCAACCCTGGAATATGAGCATATAAAAAGCATATTCCATATCTGGTATTCGAATCGTAACTTCTAACAGCATTTAACCCATGAAACCCAGGAGGGGGCTGGAAGAGGAAAAGATACTTCTTATTCTGACAAAGCAGAAAGTCAGTAAACTTAGTCATAGAGTTGGAGGATGGGATTTCCAAAAGTTCTCAGCGTTGGCCAGACTCTGGCAATTGGAGTCTTACCATTGACGTCGGGGGAGTGGAATTCGGACTCGAGTTCGTTGGAAAATGCTAGTTCACTGATGCAAAATGTTTTGCCAGAAAACAAGTATGTTTCCATTGGAAATATTAACTGTTTGTTTGATTTTTAGGTTTTCTGATTCCAAGTAGCCTCCAGAGAGAACCGCGGCACAAGGAAGGCAGTTCCCCGCCTGAGCAGTGAGGCTAAATGCAGCCATTGTACTTGCCCAGCTCTAATTTCACCACAATGCCTTGAGCATCTGGGCCAGATGGGCACTGATTCCTCAGAGAATCCTGTTCTGCTGTTGTGGAGAAGAAGTTGCTGGATCTTACGTGTTCAGTACACCTAATGCACTCTTCTGTTTCTTACTAAGGTGCCTTATCACTTCCGAGCGGGAACAGCATACCTTGGGACAGAGCCAGAGACTGAAGATGCTACAGTGACTAGGAAGCTGCGGGAGGCTGGAGCAATCATTATCGGGGTCTCAAACATGCATGAACTAGGGACTGGAACCACTGGCTGTAACCCCAACAGGTAAACAAGTCACATACGCCCCGCTCCCCCCCCCCTTTGTCATTCAGGTAAATTTAAAAAACCCTCAGTCATGAAACTCAGCTGTTGAACATTCTCACATCTCACCTGCACAGTGGCAAGGAGAGCATCTTAGCCATGTGAAGGTTTGAGTGTCTGAGGGGCGGGGGTCTAAATCGAGGCACAGGATGCCTAGAGAGTAGCACAGTGCCTGGGGGACAGGTGGGTGAACTACGGCCCGCAGGACCGTCCTGCCTGGCCCCTGAGCTCCTGGCCCGGAAGGTTAGCCCCCGGCCCCTCCCCCACTGTTCCCCCTCCCCTGCAGCCTCAGCTCGCTCCGCCGCCAGCGCAACACTCTGGGCGGCGGGGCTGCGAGCTCCTGGGGCAGCGCAGCTGCAGAGCCCAGCCTGACCCCGTCTCTGTGCTGCACAGTGCGTGCCTGTAGCGCCGCCAGCCACCGGTGCTCCAGGCAGCGCGGTAAGGGGGCAGGGAGCGGGGGGGTTGGGTAAAAGGCAGGGGAGTTTGGAGTGGTGGTCAGGAGGCGGGGGTGTGGATAGGGGGTGGGGCGGTCAGAGGGTGGGGAACAGGGGGGTTGAATGGGGGCATGGGTCCGGGGGGGCAGTCAGGAAGGAGGGGGGCGGTTGGATGGGGCGGCGAGGGCAGTCGGGGCGGGGGTTCTGGGGGAGGTCAGGGGACAGGGAGCGGGGGGGGGTGTGGGCCATCAGGGGGCAAGAAGTGTGTGTGGGGGCAGATAGGGGGTGGGGGACGAGCCATGCCCCCCTCCCCTAACCGGCCCTTCATACAATTTCCAAAACCCGATGCGGCCCTCAGGCCAAAAAGTTTGCCCACCCCTGCTTGCAGGGGGGAAGTTAGGTTATTTCTGAGACATGATTTTGGTTCCTCCCCTGCCCTAAGGTGTGTCCAACCTCTTGAAAAGTCTACACTCTCATTTTATCTCCTTCAGATTCCATGGCACTGCTAGGAACCCATACAACCCCCAGCATTTCACTGGTGGCAGCTCCAGTGGATCGGCCGCTGCTGTGGCGGCAGGTGAGATGAACTAAACCCACCCAGGGGAAAAGGCCACTTCAGAATTTGCTGGAGCCTTTGGGGAAGATTCTGGGGTGTGGCAGAAGTTTTGTGGGTGGGTGGAGAGAGACCAGCGATAGATGCACCAGGGGTGTTTTGGGAGCAGGGCAGAGAACAGAAGATGGCCGAGTCCAAGGGGGAGGGCCTGGGATCATGAATAAGCCAGCTGGAGTAAATAGGCTTTCCATGCAGTGTTTTGTCTGGTGTAAAAGCTGGTTGTGGTTGGGCCTCTGTAAGGGGATTTGGAAGTCCGTGGGTATTGCCCTTTGTAGAGATGGGCGCTTCTGATGTACCATATGCCAGCTCTTTCCTGTTAAAGATGCTGGGAAAATGGTGTGGGAAGGGCTGTATACAGTCTTTACGGTCCCATGCAAATACACATTTCTCTGTAGGTCTTTGCCCATTGGCTCTTGGCACTGACGGAGGTGGCTCTGTGAGGATTCCTGCTTCTTTCTGTGGCGTCGTGGGGCTGAAAGGTATTGCCCCTTTACCTGGCTGGGGATCCTGCATTTCCTGGGGGATGGTGGGACCCCACACAAAGGCCAATACCCTCCTGAGCATGAAACTGTTCCCCAGCCCTCTGCGGGGTTGGGATTATAGTGCCCGTTCAGCGTGTGGCTGTAACTAGCTGTGACAAGGATTCGACTTCTGAGATCTTTTGTATTTGACTTGTGACTTTAAATTGTTGTTAGGGGACTTAGAGCTTGTGTGTCAATGCATCTTACGGATTTTAATTAAAATGAAAATAATCATTTGCAGCCAAACATGGAGACATTTACTGGGTTAGTTGGTACGTCCCTGACTCCAGATGACAATTGGGTCATTCTGTACTCTAGCCCCGGCACAGCGACTTGCCCTGGCTGCAGGAGCAGGGATAAGTAGATGTCATTCTGAGCTGGAGAGGGGGGATTTGTTTTTTTGGAGGGGGAGGGGTTAGAAAGGAAGGAAGCCACAGCATGAGCCCCACTAGCTCTGGGTTCAGGGTCCAGAGGCATCTCTGACATGACATTGCTGCTAAGGGTTTGGAAAGCACTCCATGAAAGTGGTCTCCCTCCAGCAAGTGTTGAATTTGCCCCTTCTTTCCTGTATTCCGCCAGGGAGGAGAGGACTAAGGGGGCAGAGAATCACCCAGTTGTAAATCCATGTACCTCTGTTGGAGATCTTCTGCAAATCCCCAGGATTGATTTACAGCCTGTAAATAAATCTTCCCCAACCTAGGAATTCTGTAGTTTTGAATAAGGCAGTCACCCCAGCCCTGTATCTCAGGTTAGGGCGCCAGTTACCACTGGATTAGTAAACCCAAGTGAACTTGTAGACCTTTCTCAGGGGGGGCATGTATAGTAGCTTATGGCCGACCTTCTCAGAAGTGGGGAGGGAATACTGCTAGTAGGAAGGCAGTGTTATTGGCCTCAATCCTACTGACCCCTATGCACATACTTAAAGTTAAGCACATGCATGAGTAGTCCTGTTGACCTCAGTGGGACTGCGTATGTGCTCAAATTTAAGCATGTGCTTCTTTGCAGAAGGACTTGGTTCCTAGTGTAAAGGTGGGGGTTAGTCACTTCTGCTCTGTAAAGGCTCCCCAAGGATCTAGAGCTTGGTTTCCAAAATGTTATCCTACTTCCCACTGAGCACATTTGCTACTGGTGCCTCCCCTAAAGTAAATTCTTCCTTAAGTTTAAATTGGACTGGAGGCCAGACTTAGGAAAGCAGCCCTGCCATGGGCCCTCTGGGAGTGGCGGGATGGAACTTCATACTGTAGGTTTCTTCCATCTCTTGAATGTCTGTGCTGTAATCAATGCTAGCTTCTAGCTGAACCAAATCCTAAGCCAAAGATGCTCTTATTTCCCCCTCTCCCCACTCCTTGCCTTCTTTAGAATCTCCTCTCTAAAGGGTTCTGAACCTGATCGGCTTGATGAAGAAACCCAGTCTAGAGCCACTAGCTGTGTGGGATTGATGCCGTCTCACTCCAGGCACACAAGAGGATGAGGATTGAGGGTATTTAGCCTCATCCCCTTGTAGGTTAATACTAGAGATGGGCCTGAACCAAAACCCAGATCCCAAACAAGGATCTTTAGGAAGACTGGGTCTGCCGAGCACTGCTCTGTCTCCACTTAATACAGTTTGTTCCTCCATCTGATCTCTGTGTCTGTGTCTTGCTTGAAGGTACATTTGGGCTCATCAGTGGTCACGGCTGCCTTCCACTCTCCTACTCCACCGCCAGCCTTGGTAAGAGGGTTCTTACCAGCCGCCGCTGTGACTTTCCTGTGCTTGCACATGTGTGAAGAGACACAGCGGTTGTAAGCCCCTGCATGAGAGTGCGTGTCACTGGGAGTGGGTGTGTCCTGCTCACTCCTTGTCATGTTTGTAACCATTTCATTTATTCTGGACAGGCCCCATTTGTACGTCAGTGACAGATGCAGCCATTGCATACAGCATCCTAGCTGAGCCAGATCCACTGTACCCATATGGTGAGTGAGCCTCTGTCTCTCCATTATCCCCCCTCTCCCTGTCTGCCTCCCCTTGGTTACCCCATGCTAATGACTTGTTTGATATCTCGCTGTGGGTAGGTCCCTGCCTGACGGGGATCTTTTTGTTTGTCCCTTGCAGGACTACAGCAGCCAAAACCATCCCTATCTGAAATCCTCACTCCTGACCTCAAGGGCTTAAAATTGGGAGTGAACTGGACTTTTTTTAAGGTGCCTGTTGTCTCTTCTCTTCTTTATGGTGCACTGTGTCAGCTGTCAGTTCCTTCAATTCAGCCGTCCCCTCCTCTAGCCTGCCAGCTGAGGATTGATTGCAGCGGTCTTTCTCCTCGCTGCCCTTAGCACTACAACCTGGTCGGAAACGTCACAACGAAAATCTTTTTTGAGGGAAATTTTCCAGAAGAAAACCTTGATTAGGATGAAACTTTGCTGAAGCAGCATTTTGCACTGCAACATTTTGTTTATTTTAAACAGTTTAGCTTAAAATACCATGGCAGAAATGGAAATATCAACATTAGGAAAGGAAGTATTTCGGTTTGCATTGACCGCTTCTGAATTGACATTTTGTGAGAATGCTTCATTCTGTGAAAAACTTCAGTATTTCAGCTTTTCACCCCAATTTGGGACAAAAACAAGTCTTGAAATATCAGGATTTCTCACAGGACGGAAATTCCGTTTTCCAGCCAGCTCTACCCTGTGCCCACTGCCTGTCTCCTGAAGACTGGGCTGGGGTTGCATTCCTTCCACCCAAGCCGACAGACGGGGGCTGTATGCTACTGGGCTTGATGCTGCAAGGGAGGGTTCATGTGCTGTGTTAGCTGTGCCATGGCTCTATTTCCCCCCCCCCCTCCTCCAGAGCAGCAAAGGCAGGGCTGTGTGGTCTTGGAGCTGGGGCCCTAAAAATAGCCATGGTGTGGGATGTGTTGGATTTACGCCCAAGACTGCGTTTCAAGGAGGAGAGGAGCGTGTCGCCTTAATTTGGTGCTCAGGATGGTGGGGAGGCTGGTGTTGGGTTCAGCCTGGGGGAAGAGGGGATGACAATTGATAAAGGCCTTTAGTTAATTAATTTATTTTTCTGTCTTGTCTTTCAGGCTTGTGATGCAGAAATTTTGGCAGTCTGCCAAAAAGGTAGAGCAAGAGTTTCTCCATTTCTGATAGCTGCTCCCCCATGGCCCCATAAAAAGCTGCGGTAAAGGCTGGAAAGGCTCCAGCTGGTGGCCGCCTGCAGCCTTGTTAGTTTGGAGGAGAAGTGTGTTGAGTCTATCGGGGGCAGTTGACCCGAACTCCAACTGTATTTTGTTCTCTTGGCTCTCACCTGAGTGGTGCTTTCGTTTGCGTAGCTCATGTTTGAGTTCTGGAATTGTAACCTTGGCTAACCTAGCTCCCACTGGCTGGCTGCATGACCACAGTGGCCATGGTGCCCTGAATAACCCTGATCTTGCTGGAGTTTTAAAGCTAAGTAGGTTCGGGCTTGTTTAGTTCAAATGGAAGCCTTGCCCACTCCCCCACCTTTGAATCTGGCTTTCTAGGCTTGTTGTTCCTTTGCTGTTGGATAACCCAGCCTGTGTGCCATCATATTTACAATATAAACTTACAAACTTGTCTTCGGAAAGCCTTTCTAGGTTTGCCTTGTCTGCTAGCCTAGTGTTAGTGCTCTGTTGGGTGGGAGATGTGGGCATGAGTGCTGCTCCTGTCAACCCACTATTTGGGGCTTCCTTGACTACAGCCAGATCAGCTGTGCTGCAGGGATACTATCTTGGGGGGAGAGGGGTAGTCTTTTCAGATCTTGTCAATTAAGCAAGGATGAACCTTGTCAGTACTAGGAGGAGAGACCCATCTCCTCCAGAGTTTTTGTTGTTGTTCTGAGTGCATTTATCCTGTCTCTTCCCAACTCCTATTACTACTGTATATATAAATATTATTGCAGTGTCTCCCTGTGAATTTTTAATTGATTTCCCCCTTGCAGTCCTCAGGGCCCCCCTCTGCCTCACAATCAGCATTCAGCACTTGGATGCCAAGATGACAGACTCCTTAAAAATACCAGAGAGTTTTTGCTTAATTAAATGCAACATCAAGGTGGAGTTTTAGCTACCCAGAAATCAGGAAATTCAGAGCTATGTTTCCCACTGCAGTTTTAAGCCTGCTCCCTTTTGTGTAGCCTTGTGATGTCTTTCGCTGTCAGACATTGGGGGCAGATTGTGAGTGTATTAATTAAAATGCACACTGTGATGTGGTCTGAATGCATGAAGGACTCAAACTCCACCTATGCTACTACAGGTTGGAAAGCTGGTCAGATGTTATTTTAAATAATATTCACCAATTCATATTTGAATATGTGCACACCAGTGAGGTGGGTAAGTTGCCTTATTCTCATTTTACAGATGGCAAAATCGAGGCTCAGATGGGTTGAGTGAATTGTCATGGTCCTGTAGCAAGTCTGCGGCAGTCAGGGACAGAGTTCATGAGTCCAGACTCCTCATTCCATTTCTGTAACCGACAGACATGCAACCACTTGGTGCCCCCCAATTCGCAGCATCGTGTTGATTTTGTCTTTGACTTCCATTTCACATTGTGCATTCTGAATGTTCCTTGGATGAGAGCCTCAGACTATAATTGATAACATTGATAGCGACCTCACACTAGTCTAGCATTGTTCATCCCAGCAGATCTGGAAGCACTTTGCAAAGTCAGGGAAGCATTATTATGCCCTTTTTACAGACTGGGTAAGTGAGCTGCAAGCGACTTACCCACGATGTAGTAAGCCAGTGGCAGAGTTGAGAGCAGACCCGTGAGTACTCACCCCTGAGTCTGCTCTGTCATATGGGTAGCTGTGATCTAGTGGACAAAAGCCCTGCAGTTTTTTCTATAACTAGATGCAGCCAGGTGTGTTATTGCCCATGCGCTGTGTGATCATATGAGCAAAGAGCCTGTTGTCATGTGGTTGTGGGAACGCCTGCCTTTTGTAAGATTAAATCTCAGCCATCTCATTGTAGCCTTCTGAACACAAGGAACGCACTATTCCTTTTGCTCCTCCTGCTTCGTGCTCAGCTGTAGAGCACCTGCAGGCTTTAGGTGCCTCTGTGGTGGACGTGCCCCTGCCGGAGATGGAGGAGGTGCGAGTGGCGCATGTGATCTGCATTCTCAGCGAGATGAGGGATTTCCTGCAGCCCGACTTCAACACCCACTTCCAGCAAATGGTAAGTGGCAGATGCATGGATTGTTCGCATCAGCCTTGTGTCAAGCCATCTGTGTCAGTCACTGCTACACATGAGTGGATAGGCTCCTGGTGTATGGGATCTGGGGCTTTCTCAGACTTTGCCCCGCACGGGAGTGCGCAGCCCTCACCCAAAGTTCCTTTGTGTTTCAGAATCTGGAGACGCGGCTCAACCTTGCTCTGGCTTCCCAGTTCACAGCTCTGGATTATATTAAGGTGAGGAGCGTGCTGTGGAAGAGGGGGAGGAAGCAGGCAAAGAAGAAGGCTTCTCCCAGCCTGGCGAGGTTGTGGGGAGGAGACAGCCTGCTTGGAAGCTCTCTGCACCCAGGTAGAGAGCCATGGAGAGATGTTACCCAGCAGTGCTGCTCTCTGCCTAAGAACCGATGCAAGCTTGAAGGGGCCCAGATGGGGAGGAGTCATTTGGTCTCATGCTCTTACATTGAGTCCGATCAGTGAGTCTGTGGTGGTACTGGCTCTTTATCAGGGAAGGAGGCTGTGACCCTCAGTGACAGGGGGATAGGCACCGCTAGAGGACTCTGTACGTTCTGTAAATTGATGCCTTGGTACATCCCACCTTTGCACTGATACCATCTCCTTCTCTTTGCAGGCAAATCGGCAGAGGACTCGGAGCATGAGCTTTTTGCGAGAGATCTTCACCAATGTGAACTGTATCCTCACCCCAGGTATCTGCTCTGTGGGCTGAGCATGGGATTTACTGTGGCTTGGAGTGGGACTCTTGGCATAAATGTGCACATATGTATGATGCACTTGGCTTCCAGGGTTAATGTTTAATCCATTTGAACTTTTGCAAAATTATACCTTTTATAACTGCCGTGAGTCAAACGTCCTTACTTTGCTCTGCCCCAGCTCTAAGGAAATGTGACTTTAAAATTGCTCCTCTGTGTTCCCCAGGCCCGTTCCCTGTATGTTTCACAGTCAGAACTGCTCATTTTGCTGACTAAAATAGGAATTGTAACACTCCTGTTAACTGAGCTGTGCTGGCTCTGCAGGGCTACAAGGGAGGGAGTGGGAATCTATTCTCTGCTGTGCATCATCAAGAAACTCCTTTTCTAGTTGCAAAGTTGTTCTTCCTGATGATGATGCACAAACCAAAAAGAACTTGGCTTGACTCCAGGGATGAGTTAGAGCAAACGGGTGCCTTAAAGGAGGCATAAGGGGGCTGAATTGCCCCTGCAGGAGATGGTGATTGTTTGCCTGTTTCTCTCATGTAGCCACCGCTTGCACTGCCCCAAGAATCCAGGACTCTGACCTCTTGACGGGGAACAACAACGTTCTAACAACACTTCAGAGCATGAGGTGAGAACTGTGCAGCAGTAAAATGTGTTTATGGTCAGGCTGTATGGAGAACCCTGGGGATGCTCACAGCTGTTCTGTCCCAGCCTCTGCCACCTGATCACTGGCTGTCGAGCAAGAGAAATCACAGCTGGTCCAGTTTCTGCCTCTCTACGTAGAAATGACTTCATTACAGTCCAACAGCGAGAGTGCAGGTGTCTTTTCCCCACTCTCTTGCAGATACATGCAGCTTGGAAACTTCACAGGCATCCCGGGTCTGGTGGTGCCAGTCGGGTACACTGCCACTGGGCTTCCCATCAGCTTTCAGGTAAACACTTACCCCCTTGCTAATGCTAGTAGGAGAACTGCCCAGACCACACTGCTCTGCGGGTAGAAGGGTGTCTAGTGCTGGGTCTCCATAGCCAGCTTATGAAGTGGGTGGAATTTGGTGCTAAAAAGTGTAAGCTTCTGCTCTTCCTTGTCCACAGAGCTAATACAGAACTATGTATTCTGGGTCATCAGGAGAATGTGAGTCCAGGGGCCAGCGGAAAACACTGGATCCCCTTCACTACCCCCATGTCCTCCTCAATTGTTCTCCTGGGGTCTGTCCCTCTTCCATTCCTGTTGCTTCCTCTCCCTTCGCTCTCTTGTTCCCACCTTCGTTGCTCCCTTTACTTGGCTCTAGCGCAGTGGGGTGCCCCAACTTATCCTGTCATGACCCCCTCTTACCAGTAATGGATCTGTCCACGCTCCCCCTCCATTACTGCACAGTCTGCTCAGCAGAGGAGCTTGGGCTGAAGGCAGGGATGGGGGAGGAACTGGGGCTAGAGGTGGAGCTGGCATGGGGACAGAGAGAATAAGGGCAGAGCTGGGCTGGGAGTGGAACAGGGGACGGAGCAGAGCTACGGCTGGGGCCAGAGCTGCGGCTGGGGGCAGAGTGGGGCTGGGTTGTGCTCCTTCACCACCACCACCACCTTGGAGGCTGGCCTGGGCCCCACCACGTGGCCCCCAAACGTTCCTCTCACCCAAGAGTTTGGGGACGACTGTTCTAGCACCTTCCCCACTGAAAGGAGCGACAGGTGTCTGGGGGATATATAGGGGTGCCCTTCTAAAACTTGACAAGGAAGGCTGGTCCACTGATTAGGGCTCTAGCCTAGGGCTTGGGAGACCAGGGTTTAATTCCCTGCTGTGCCACAGACTTCCTGTGTGACCTTGGCAAGGTCCCTTAACCTCTCGATACCTCAGGTCCCCATCTGTGGTGATGGTGTTAATAGCGCCACCCTAGTTCCCAGGGGTGTCAAGAGGATAAATACATTACAGAATGTGAGGTGCTCAAGTACTACAGTGATGGGGGCCGCATAAGTACCTTTGATAGATGGATTTGTGGCCATGCTCCCAAGAGACCTGCTGTGGATTCTATTTCTGTCGTCTTGGGTGGAGAGAGGGGGAAAAGACGGGGACAGGAGGGAGCAGAGATGTTTGTGTGCAAACAGAAACCTTTAGTCTCGGCATGAAGCTGTACAGGGTATGCCTCCCCATTCCACACGGTAGGGATTTGCCTCAGCAGAGCCGGGAGCAGCTCTGCATATTATTTACAGCACATGCCTGTTCCTCTGAATGGCCTGGGGGACGTCCAAAACTTGCAGGTAACCAGGTGTTGGGAGAAGCAGAAATACTGTTAACTAACATAGGGCTAGCTGGAAGACACCCTGCACACTCAGGTAAGTAGGGATTTTGGGATCAAGGGAATTTGGATAACTGGAGTTATGCTGTGCTATTATTTGTACTGGAGTAGCACCTCGGAGCCCCTGTCAGGAACCAGGACCCCATTGTGCGGGGCGCTGTACAAACACCGAACAGAAAGATGGTCCCTGCCCCAAAGAGCTGACTGTCATGCACTGGAAGGCTCCTGAAAGCAGTGGGAACAGTGTCCCTTGGCATTAGCATGGGGGTCTGTAGATAGATCATCTGGCATCTTTCCAACTCATGCTGCTCAAAACAAGAGACTCATAGACTTTAAGGTCAGAAGGGACCATTATGATCATCTAGTCTGACCTCCCGCATGATGCAGGCCACAAAAGCTGACCCACCCACTCCTGGAATAATTCTCTCCCTTGACTCAGCTGTTGAAGTCCCCAAATCATGATTTAAAGACTTCAAGTCGCAGAGAATCCTCCAGCAAGCGACCCCTGCCCCATGCTGCGGAGGAAGGCGAAAAACCTCCAGGGCCTCTGCCAATCTACCCTGGAGGAAAATTCCTTCCCGACCCCAAATATGGCGATCAGCTGAACCCCGAGCATGTGGGCAAGATTCTCCAGCCAGACCCTCCGGAAAATGTTCTCTGTAGTAACTTTTAATATCCCATCATTGACCATTGTTACTAATTACCAGCGATGGCACGTTATTGACCTATTGACTAAAATCACGTTATCCCATCAAACCATCCCCTTCATAAACTTATCAAGCTTAATCTTAAAGCCAGAGAGATCTTTCGCCCCTACCGTTTCCCTCGGAAGGCTGTTCCAGAACTTCACCCCTCTGATGGTTAGAAACCTTCATCTAATTTCAAGCCTAAACTTCCCGACGGCCAGTTTATATCCATTTGTTCTCGTGTCCACATTAGTACTGAGCTGAAATAATTCCTCTCCCTCCCTGGTATTTATCCCTCTGATATATTTAAAGAGAGCAATCATATCCCCCCTCAGCCTTCTTTTGGTTAGGGTAAACAAACCGAGCTCCTCGAGTCTCCTTTCATACAACAGGTTTTCCATTCCTCAGATCATCCTAGTGGCCCTTCTCTGTACCCGTTCCAGTTTGAGTTCATCCTTTTTAAACATGGGAGACGAGAACTGCACACAGTACTCCAAATGAGGTCTCACCAGCGCCTTGTGTAACGGAAGCAGCACCTCCTCATCCCTACTAGAAATACCTCACCTAATGCATCCCAAGACCGCATTAGCTTTTTTCACAGCCACGTCACATTGCCGACTCATAGTCATCCTGCGATCAACCAGGACTCCGAGGTCCTTCTCCTCTTCCGTTACTTCCAACCGATGCGTCCCCAGTTTATAACTAAAACTGCTGGAGGCTTCAGCTGTATCGCAGTCAACGGTAGCCCGTTGCTTTGGCTGGCTGGATGTCTGTGACTACAGCTCCTCTTCCCCCACCTCCTGAGCCATCCATGTAAAAGGTCCTCAGGGGCTTCAGAGCCTCACACATGTGGGGGTGTGGGAATTCCTGCATCCCGAGGGAGGCCAAAAGCATGGGGGCAGCTAGGAGGACTACATGGTGCACAGAAACGGGGGCTAGGGAAGGGACAGTCTTTGGGAGGGAGCTGGATGGGGCCCTGTAATTTTTACCTCCAGTAGACCTCTGCAACATGGAGGGCCAGCCCGGCAGCCACAAGCCTACTTTGCTCCAGGAACCACCCAGTTTCGTAGGAAGCCAGTCATCCCCCAGGAGAGGGCAGCGGTCCCTGTCTGTTCCAGCCTGTCCCTCCAGAAAGCTCTCCCACCTTGCTGGATTTCAGTGCCCCTGTTTTGCTCCCCACGTGTCCCTGGTGGGGGTAGCCTTTCAGTGTTGGGCCCTGTGATTCCCAGGTGCCATCCAGCTGGGTGCTAGCTAGATTCCAGAGGGTGGCTTCAGCAGGATCCTGACCCCATTGCTGAGAGGGTTACAAGATCATTCATTGTGTCTCTGCTATTCCTGCTGACGAAGCCGCCCCTCGGAGCTTTCTTACCAAGTAGTGCCCTAAAGCCCTGCGGGTGACTGTGTCTTCCACTTGCAGGTCATGGCAAAGTGGTGGGATGAGGCGGTTCTTTTCCGGGTTGGCCTGAAGCTGGAGGAGTTCCGTGACACGACCAGGAAGCCAGCCATTTATTACGACATCCTCGCATGATGGGAGTCCCAGAAAGGAGATGCTGTGATTTTTCTGGTCTGATCCGACTGAGCGTTACTGGGGAAAGGAGTTACTGCTTTTAACATTGATCTCAACGAGGGGTGGCGGCAGCAGCAGGGCTGTTTACATAGTGGAATAGTAGAGTTTGTTCTAGGATGATATTTGTTCCCATCCAGGGTCAATGCTGCCCTCAGGTGCAGGGGCTGTAAGAGGATACCAGTCTACGTATGGATGAGGGGCTAATGGATGGGTGCAGAAACACATTTATTTTTGTAGTTAGGTTCGGTTCGAGGTGTTACATGGATAGGACCAAACAGGAATGCTCTCGGGACGACCTCCTGTACGTGGGCTGCACTAGTAAAAATCAGCTATGGGTGTACAGTTCCCCCAGCCTTCCATGGGAGGTGGGAGAACATCCTTGGCCAATGCAGCCTTGAGTAAATCCTTTTGCCCTAGTTACACTATAGAAAAGGGGAATGAAACACTGCACTTTCCTGGGTGTTGTGTTTTCTGTTTTGTTTGGGCAGGGGCGGCAGCATCCCGGCGGCAGCAGGAGAGTTTTTCCACTCAGGATAATTTAAATGACCTGACTGCTCCTGGAGCCAAGTAGGTGGTGCATATAAAATGTCGTCATAGGACCAGTTTCTCTTGCAGTGTATGTGATAATAGAGAAACTAAACTAAACTCTGCAGGAACATAGGAAAATGAAGTCTTTTAAAGCTGCTTTTAGATTTCTCCTGCTTCCCTATCTCTGCTGGCAGCATAACTTGGCATTTATTGTTAGTGTGGGTTTTCCCTGGGAAATGTTATGAACTGAGCCCTTCGTAGAGCCTGAGGGTGGGATGCACAGAACTGCAGAAGACCAACAAGCATGTTTAACTGCAGTACAGCAGTAGATAAGAGAAGGGATATAACGACCCAGCCCTTATGACCTAACAGCCAGCACCTCCTGCTAACACATTTGCTAGAGGAGCTGTCTAAGCACTGAAAGGGGAACTAAACTGTGGACCAAGGAGAGGGCAGCTGTCCCTGTCTAGGAGGGATTTTTACTGATCCACCCTCTCATACGTCCAAAAAGCACACACAGTGAACCCTGTTTACCACAGCCAGTCACTGTTCTTGTTTCCATGAAGGAGCTAGGCCCTAAGGCCAGGCCCAGCTAAAGATCCCAGCCTATAGGAAAACCTCCTACCTTTAAGCTCTCATAGGCACCTACCTCTACCCCCTGGGATTGCTTGAGGCTTCTGCCTGCTCTTTCCTGCACTAGTGCATTCAGCTTAGTCACTTTATCAGAGCAAGAAAAGGCCTAGCACTAAACCTGAGTAGGTGGTAGGGCTTCCAGGTGAGAAACTAAAGAGATGAGGCTCCTTACGTATCCTCTTCAGTAACACACCTAACACAGATGCACTTAACAGGGAAACGTCTCGATTCATTCAATATATTCTTCCTGCTACACCCTCACTTCCAGAAGGTTTTAAATATAAAGTTGTTGCAGAAGCTGCTGCTGGGCCAGTGTAGGACAAGAGCCATGCCCCCATTTCCCTGATTAGGAAAGGTGGAGCTTTCACTGCAGGAAAAAAAGGGAATTTTTTTTTTTTTACTTTAAACCCCTCTCAATCCATTTTTCATTTTCTAAATGGACCTGACCTTACCCTGAGGATTAAGACTGCTGGTTTCATGACATTCAAATGGAAAAGCACCACACTGGACCCTACTGTCTCATCTACCTTCAGTTCCTGCTGGGAAACATCAGCAGCCACTGCTAATTGCTAGCATCATTGGCAGTTAGAGATAGTGAAACTGTTGGGTCTCTCTGAATGTTTTTCAGTTCCTCTTTGCTTAGCTAGGTTGTTACAGTAATAAGAACTAGGCTCTGGTATCTTCCTGAGAAGAGCAACTGCCATATCACTGATAAACAAATACTTTTCCAACTGTAACCTTAATTCTAGTTTGGTACACTTCTGTGGAGGGGCTACAAGTGTATGTGTATTGCCTAAAGGCACTAGGAGACTTTACCAGAATGTCCTGCATTGGGATGGTTATGGATGATGTAGTTTCACGCAAATAAACAAGTTCTCTTTTTCTCTGCTAAGTCTGCTCTTTGTAGGTGACTGAGGGTCTCTATTTGCAGTGGTGACCTCAAAAGGTTGCTGTGAAGAGGGCCAGGGGGTGCTGGAAACAGATTTGCTCTGATTCAAATTTATGTAAAGTATGTCCTGATATGCCTTTAGAAAGTTCCCATCACTGGGGTGTTATAAGCTGTCGGTGGGGTGGGGGGGACCTAAACTGCTTCAAGTCCACTCCAGTGCCATTGGAGTTCAAGACCTGGTTTGAGTTTGGCCCATTCTCTAAACCAGGGGAACTCCTCTTCTGCTCTGAAGAGAAGAATCAAATCCCTCCAGGTGGAAGGGCTCACATCCCCTTAGCCTCTGGAAGAAAATCAATGGGCAGGGTGTCTCCCAGCAAGCCCTATGTTAGTTAACAGCAATTCTGAGTGAGGGCTAGATCCACAAAGTGATTTAGATGCCTAACTGCCACTTTAGGTACATAAAATCCAAAATGTAGATCCTCAAAACCCTCACTCAGCTACCTCCTAATCTTGTAGGTGTCCAGATTCCCCTGGCATCTAAAAATCTGTGGCTGAGCATGTGCACAGATTCCTCAAGCTGGGCCCCAGAGCCCCAGGAAGATCCTCAAACCAAGCATTACCCCACTTGGCTTGATTGCAGGGCCTGAAATGGTAGGTGGTCAGGAACAGGGTCTTGAACTTGGGCCTCCCGTGTCCTAGAGGAGTGCTCTAACGTACTGATAGGCTTGGGAGGAGGATTAGACTTTTATTGGTAAATGTCGATTTCACCAACACACACACACAGACTGATGGAAAAAATACTTCCAGTAATAACTGTAATTTATAGATGGGCAAAGTAAGAAAAATCTCTTGACTTTAGGAGTCTGATTGAAGGCTATTTACTCTATTTTGATAGGTGGTGTTGACAATTTGTGTGAACAGCTAAAGCTTCAACTTTCTGAATCAACAGCAACTCTTATTAAATAATTGTCTGACACCCCCCTAATTTTGCACAACTCTGAAAATGTAAATAGATAAAAATGCTTAAAAACAAATATTGCTATTATCCAGTGAAATTGTAAAAAGAAAAATCCAGTGCTGCCAAGCCTACTTGCTAAGCACTAGAGTCACTCATTCTCTGGCCTTAATGACCATTCCATTATTTGTACAAAGTGGTAGGGAGCATGACAAGAGATCTACAGCATAATATCCCAGAACTCAGGGGTCAGAGCACTTATGAGAGATGCGAGTTCAAATCCCTGCTCCCTATCAGGCAGAGGGAGATCCTGAACCTGGGTCTCCCGCATCCCAGCTGAGTGCTCTTACCCCAGGGCTAATACTGTACCACTATCACTGTTTTTTGTGATGAGCCAGACACCTAACTAAAGGAGAAGGGTCATGATGAGAGGGAGGTGCTTTCCTCCAAACTAGAACTAGATGCTCATGTCCCTTTGTGAAGGCTCCTGTTTCAGCTTGCTGCCTCTCATGGATCCCATTCTTGGGTACCTAACGCAGGGCTGTGGATTCTACTAGGCAGGCACCCGAGCACCTGTTAGATTCAGCATTGCACTGCCTAAGTTCCTTTGTGGATTTAGTCCTAGCTTCTGTGCTAAGCCCTGGCACTGACCTGCTAGAGCAGCAAAATGCTTTTCCTCTCTCGGTCACCAGAGGGACATGCATGTCCCAGAGCAGCATGTGTCTGGGCGCAAGGCTCTTGGTACTAAGCAGTCAGAGGAAATCCTCTGGAAATCCCCTAGTTTTAGTTCCCTTTGTTGATTAGTCTCCACCATTGGGTTTTTTCACACTCCCACAGTAGGAGACAAGTTCTCTACCTGGTAACAGACTCCTCCTGCCCTCTCCCCCTGCTCCCCAAGAGAGGGCTTAAGAGACAGTGGCAGTGCGATTGTGTGAGCAAAGCAGACACAGTGACCACACGCACAAGCCTGTTGCTTCACATAACTGTATGTATGGATATAGATATACGGTATATACACACTGATTTTATAGATATATATATATAAAATAACACCTTGTTTATAAAGCGACATTTAATTGCCACTTGCCCCCTTCCCACCCCACAAAACAATAGTATACAAAATATAAAATATCTTAAATATTTATAAACAGCGCAAGAAAAAAATAGAACTGTACGAAAATAGTTTTTCTGAGGTTCCCTCCCTCCCCCCCCACCCCTTGGTGCATTTGGCAGGTTAATGTGCCTTGAGTCCGTAGCTGTTGAGGGGGTAAGAGTAGGCCCTGCCCAATACTATCCGGTCCCGAAGGAGCTTAAATAAGACGTAGTAGTTGCAGAAGAGGATGAGGGCCATGGAGAGGGTGTGGTTCCACTTCTCCGAGCGCAGCAGGGAGTACAGCTGGTAGCAGACGACGCTGCCTTCGATGAGGATAAGCAGGTTGAGCAGCCGTAATGGACGGTGAAAGAGGAACTGCAGGGGGGGGGAAAAAGCTGCATATTTGTGGTTTGCTCTGGTAAAGAAGCTGACAGAGTATTTTTGTAGCGGTTGTAGGGCCTGGGGCATTGGGGTAAATACTCTGTAATGTCCAGATCAGCTGCTAGCCAAGAAAAATGCTCTCGCAATCTGGATTCCCTGCTTTGTAATGCGTTACTGTGCTGGAGAATGGCTAATGGCATATGCTGCTGCTGTGGACTTGAAAGTGCTTTCAAGTTAGCTGAGCGCTGTGAGTAGAAAGCCCCTCTGCCCAGAACCAGCAGAAGGAGATTACCCAGGGCTGAAATCCCTTCCCCTTCCAACCCTGACTGACAGGAGAGTTCGCTCTCTGTGGCTCATTCAATCGTTGGCCTTTTTGCTGTGACTGCCAACAAGAGTGCCCATTTGGGACACAGCCACTTCACCCCTAGGAGCTGAACTGAGATTCACCCGTGTGTTAAACACGGGCCCCAAACTGGTGCATGTTAACCTAGGTGCACACTGCAACAGACAATACAGGCTCCATCTCTCCCTCCCACTCTGCTGAACTGCCAGGCCCTCAAAGTACCAGAGCAACTTTGAATTTCAATTCTTTTGCCATTTTCAGCGGTCAGGGCAGCAGCAGCTGGCACCAGGCCACATCTAGAATTAAACGTTTGCAAAACTACAGGGGGCACATATGTTTAAAACAAAACTACTTGAACCGAGAGAAAAGAAAATAAAGGGGACCTATAATTAGGAAAGAAAGCCAGGCCTTCTGGGGACTCAAACTAAAAGCAGTCCAACCACCTTAAATCTTATTCTTTGCTAGTCACTAACCTGCAGTTGTTTCAGTAAGAGGTTTAGCACCAAGAGTGCAACAAATCTATAAAGTATGTGTTTATGGCAGAAGTGGAGCTCTGTATCTAGTGCCAGTTTGCAGTGCACACTAGAAAACTTTAGAGGGCCCCGAGGGAAAGAGCAGGAAATTAAGAAAAGGGTGGGACCAGGCCCTGGCTTTGCTGGATTAAAGAATCCAGTTTATTCCTTCTGCCTGACTTTCAATTCAGTCTCATCTCAACCTGCGCTACTGCAGCGGTGCTCAACCCCGCCTCCCACTCCCAGAATGACACATCAGGAGAAGAGATACTTGCATAAAAGCGGGCGTGGGAGACATCTGAAGGCACTGCTACATTGTAAGGCCCTACTGCCTTGTACAGGCATCGACTGTGTCGCACCAGCACGCCCTGTGGCCAGATCGTACTTTCTGACCAGCTGAGGAGAAAAAGAAAGAGACCTGCCATTAGCCTAAAGGAGGCAGTGGGTGGTGATGGTCGGGGGGGGGGGGGGTGTTGTTGAGTGTGTGTTGCCTAGATCAGCTCAAGAGCTCATGTCTCATGAGAGAATTTCAGTGCACCTGCCAAAAGCAGGGATGTATCATTATTCCTTTCAGGGAAACAGAGACATGGAGTGGTGACAAGATCACAGAGGGAGTCTAATATGAAGTCAGGAATAGGACCAAGCAGAGCCCCATTAATAAGGATAAGATGTCACAGAGGTCATGGATTCTGTGACCTCCATGACATTTTCCACCTCAGCCCCGGGGCAGCAGGGCCGGAGTTCCCAGCCTTTAGGGGACCCCCACCAGCTCCCAGTCACCGGTCCCACAGCTCCAAGCCGTCGCAGGCAGCGGGGGAACCCTGGATCCCCGAGCGAGCGGGTGCTGGACCTCCCCACAGCAGGTCTTGGGCTCTCATCCTCCTCCCCAGAATTCAGTCATCCCCTGTCAGCCCTCCCCTAACATTATTTTTACTAAAAGTCAGACAGGTCATGGGCTTCCATGGATGTACTGCCCACAACCTGTCTGTGACTTTTTCTAAAACGTGACAAAATCTTAACCTTACCCATTACCACAAGGCCCAAATGGCTCCCACCATAAGAACCAAGAGCACTCTGTATTAGTGTCAGTGGGGCTGTTCGGAAAACATCCCACCACCCGGTGTGAACTAACTGCTCCAGGTGGTGGCAAGAGCGTGAGAGAGAGTCCCAAGGGAACAAGAGCCAGCGCTGCTAGGGCACTGCCACGAGGAAGCTGACAGTGCTCAGGGGTGGGCAGTGCTGGCCCTGGCAGCACGGACAGAGCAGAACAGCCATGACCTTTCAATCTAATACTAGGAGGAATGGAGAAGCTTCGCCACTGTAAACCCAGCAGGCAAAGAACAGCCGCATCTTAGAATGCCCTTGTTTAATGGGGAGAGCGCACTGACCCCTCCCAGCCTGCACTTACATGTGCTGTGGGGCGTTGCTGTATGAGCCGTGTTCTAGCTTCTGCCACTTGCCCAGGTGGGCGGCCGATCTGTGCAGCAGGTCGCAGTACTTGGGGGGAAGCAGCTGCGTGGTGAGCATAACGAAGGCGTTGATCCACACCATGATGAGGTGCTCGCAGGACCAGCGCATGTCGTAGTATTGGGTGCTCTGCAAGAGACCGGATGGGAAGTTAGCACCACTGGCATGTCCCAGCAGAGAGCACAGGGGGGTGCTGTGTGCAACCAGAAGACCAGCTCCAGACTTCACAGGCATGCACTGCC